TCTAGAAGTACATCTTCAAACTCGTTGACTACTGGGACAAATTTGAAATTCGGACCTCCCTCCCCTATTGGAATATCTTTCACTGCTGTCGAAAAGGCCAAATAATTCTGCCCAGACTCTACTCGATTGAGGTGGGCTTGATTGCGACCAAATCCCCTCAACCCAAACTCAGTCCTGAGTTAAATGAACCAACCCAAGATTTTAGTCAATGGTTTTCATTTCAAGAAAGAAAAACTATGAGCGACTGCTTAATTAATATCATAATTAGTCGATTTTCAATTTATAAACATTTAAAAAAGAAGAATATTAAAAGAGTGAATGATTCACTGTTGAATCACAACGCTAATCCAAATGGTTGCTGTTGCGACCGCTTCTGCTTGGCGGCTTCATTTGGTCCTTTGGGAAACTGTCCAAATTTAATAGCACCAAAATCTTCTTTTTCTGTCATGCCTGATGTAATACTCATTAAAAACAAAATTATATAGATGAAACAATCCAATGGAAATAACACATGATTTGAGTCAACATACGTCACTAAAATCAAATTATACTAATTAACAATCATTGCAATAAATAAAAGTAACGAATTCGTTTGCCCAATACCAATGCAATTAGGTGTTGGAAAATTGTGAACCAAAACCCAGAAATTTGAATGAATAAAGACAAATGAGGATTTCCCTTTTCTCTTTATATACATATTTCTGTGTTTCCTCCTCATGGAAGCAGTTAAAACTGAATTTCGAATATAAAAATCCTCGAATTGCAAGTGCTTCCGGTGATGGAGGAATGGGGGATTTTGGAAGGTTTACAAACATTTGGGAGTGACCACAAAGACTGCAAGAAGAGGAACAGGACAGCGAGGTGTGGAGCCAAAAGTGTGTTACGTCATTAAAAGCTAAGTAGCTATAAATTTGATTAAATGCCTCTAAGCAGCCGCCCCAACAGCTAACAAGAAAACCGGCAGGATGTAATGGAATGCGATTTTAGTTGATGGTGAATCATACTTCATTAAACTTCAAGCAGCTGTCTCTGATTGTCAACGATGGCATACTGACATAGCTAATGACGATACTTACTAATCTTGATTAGACATTTTAAGGACTTCGACTAATCAATTGCTAACCCTCACATGGATATCTGTCTATTGGGTATAAACTATAATATTCATGAATCCACGCTTTTGACTTGACTAACCAATGTGATTGTTTTTTTTTTTTTACAAACATCAAATAATTACTTTTAAATTGAATCAAGCTAGCTAAATTCGTGGAACAAAGTGGTGAAATAATTTTTAACTAAGTGCTCTTTGTCTATAAATAAAAATTGAGTAAAACTTTTAAATTGAATCAAGCTAGCTAGACATGTTTACTCAAAGCTGTGCGGAATAACATGGCTTGACAATATGAATAGCCTTATGCTCAATTCTCAAAGCTTAGGAGCATATTTATAATTTAACAAAGTGTTTACTTAACAAAAATATATCTTAACTATTGCATTTGGCTCAAGAGAAAATTAATGAAGGACGGGATGAGGTTTGGATAATGATATCCTAAACATTCCAATCTTAATACTCTCACTTGTTCATACTAAGGACATGTTTGGCCTGATTTTTTTTAGTTTAAAAACTATTATAAAGCTTTTATGAAAAATCATAATTTTTAAATTTAAGTTAAAGTTGTTTGATAAATTTACTTTTTATAAGCTCTTTTTTATTGATAAATTATTTAGGAAAACAATTTATATAAATTTTAATTTTAATTAAAATTACTATAAAGGGTATTTAATAAATCAGAAGAAAAAAATCAAATAAAAAAAAGATGAGTGTGAAAAAATATAATTTTTCCTATAATATTATGAATTGCTAAAGGATAAAAGAAGAGTATAAAAAAATATTTGTTGTTTTTTTTAAAAAATTGGCTTGGAATTTATAACTTTTGGAACTAAATAAAACTGATGTTAAACAGAACTCAAAAAGAAGAAAAAGGAAGAAGGGAAGCCTAAGGTGGTATTAATAATTGGTCCAACTAAGACAGGAAAATCACTTTAACTATTGATTTGGCAAACCATTTTCTTATTGAAATCATAAGTTCCTCACCAACAAAGTTCACCACCATGAACAAAAAAGTTTTGATTTTTATATTTTTTCTCATTATGTTAGGCAAATTTTGTTGATTTTCTTGATGGGTTATTTATTTTGTCGACAAGTATCACATCATCATACTGATAGCTCTAATGTAAAATTTACTGCTAAAAAGTTCAAAAATTCTGCAATTCATGTTCCCAAAGGAATTAAAATCTATTTCAATTTCTTGTAGTGCCGCCTATTGTTATACATAAAAAAAAATATTCTTCAAAACTGAGTTAGCACAAACGAGTACAAATATTAACTTATCAATTTTCATCTAATGTATCTTAACACTCATTGACTTATGTGACTAATTATTTCAATTATAATCAACAAATATTATATACACAAAAAAGAAGTTAAGAACAAACAAACATCATATAATTGTTATATCAAATAATAAATTGAGAGATATCAAACAATAAAAAGAGTTTTCAAAACCTAAAAAATAGAAAATAAAATGAAAAACAAAATGGAAAGAAAATGAAAAAATAATATATGAATGTAATTTTGAATTTTAAATCTTTTTCCTTAATATTAATAACAACAAAAAAACCTAAAAGAATGATTTGTAGAAAGGAGGAGAGGAGAGGGAGATCGCTAGGGAGAGAAGAAAAGGGTATTTTTTGAGAGAGGATTGTTTTGGAAAAAAAATAACTCTTCTAAGAACCTAGTGTGTTTTTTTTTTTAAAAAAAAAAAAGAGACAAGAAAACTCTTATTTAGAGTTTTTTTAAATTTTGTTCTTTAAGAAAAAAGTTTTTTTTTTTAAAGCTACCCACAAAATAGTATTTGATCCAGCTTCTACTTTTAAAAAATAAATAAACTCAAAACAAGTTATACCAAACAAACACTAAATATATGTTTACTACATAAACTAATGTTGATTTCATTGCATATTTAAATTTATATACAACAAATGTGAATCTACTTGTAAATTTTTTAAATTTCATGTAAAATATATAATATATAGGGAGAATATACTTAACCTTTAATATTATAAAGTCAATAAAGGTTTTGGTGTCAAATTTCAGTCCCTAAAGCTCTATGTTGGGTTTTTTTAAGGGAAGTGAGAAGGGTATCCGCTAGTAGCTAGCTTAAAACAAAAGCAGAGTGGAACAAAGAAACAACTTTATTTAGCCTGGGACTCATGCACATATAAACCTTCTATTTATTGCAGCCATCACGATTATTGGCATAACGCCGCAAAGCTACATATCTCCATTTTACTTTTACAAACTTTAAAATTTTCTAATGCACATTCAAACCTTGTGAGAAATTTCTCAAGAATTTCTTATACTTTAGAAAAGTCTACATTTAAAAAAGATATATATATATATATATATATTGCCAGCTAGCTAGGTAGGCCAGTTGAATTTATGTCCAAATACTATTGGCTTTTGTGTTAGTTTTATAAGTTCATTAATTGTTGTTTCATGATTAACGTGAAGGTTAGAAATCCCACAGCTAGTCTTCCCTCAAATGTACGTGTTCGGTTCATTTGCTCTTATATACAGACTTCCATCACTACATATTCATCTTTACCGGAACCATACGGACTCTTTTATTTTCCTTTTTAATTTATATTTATTTGAATGAACAAATAGTCAAAAATAAAATTGTAGAAAAATACCATTATTAATTTTAAAATGAATACATAAATCACGTTTATATATATATAAATATATTCTTCCTAGGGCAAGGGCGTGGCGCCAAGCGAAGTCCCAACGTCAATAAATAGGGGAACACGTCGCATCCATATGATAACTTAGCTGCCATCACGACATGTTCTTAATCTGTTATAGAGTAGTTGTAGTAATGGAATAAGTTAGGTTTTGAATCACTTTAATTAATTTACCTTACGCGTGCATGGATCTTAATCATCAACTCTCCTTGTCTCCTTTGGGATTTTAAGTGAAATTGCATACGCTCTTTTTGAATCTATGGAACACCCCATATCTCATGTAACTTGTGTGAGTATATATATATCTACACTGGTCATGAGAGATATTTGCCATATATATCCCATGTAACTCATCTAAGGAATATTTTCGTATTTCAAGCATATTCCTAGATGGTACTTAAACTAGTAAAATACACCATATTTCATATAACTTGTATAAATGTTTTTTTTTTCATTTTTCCAATTTTTTTAAAAATTTTTAAATTCTTATACTAAATTTAGCTTCCTCAAAATTCCCAATAATAAAAGCCTTCTTATTCTATTTATCGGAACTTGTTTGGACTGAACTTATTTAGTAACTTGTTTGACTATTAAATTAATTATACAATTAAGTAACTATAAATACATTAGGGTGGTCACACCAAGTACGTGACGTGTTTACAAGGCTGACTTTTAAATGTATTAATTCAAGGGCCATTAGTTGGAATGGATAAATATCAAAAAAATAAAAATGGAAAAGATTAATCCTTGCAGTCAATCTGGCGCCTTTGCCACCAGAAAATTAGCAAAGGTTTAGTTTTGCCAACACAGCTTGATCGCAATTGCATGGGGCTAATTATCCTACGTCATAGACAATTAGACATTAAGTAATTAAACGAGGGAAGTAAGAAAAATTTTATAAAAGGAAGATATGCGTCAGTGTCTACTAAAATCAACATGCATGGCATGTTGTTTGTATTGTATTGTGCATTAAGGAAGCCAACAGTAGAAGTTGTGAAAGCGTGGACAAGGTGAGAACCTGTTAGAAAAACGACCCAGCCACGAAGTCCAAGTCTGCTCTCCCTAATCAAACGTAAATTACCCAAGAGAAAAGAAAAAAAAAAGAGATAATAAATAAGCTTTAATTTAATACTGTAGAATTTTTTATGAATAGAATAATGTAGTCATTATTTAGTCATAGCGACCCACGAAGAGGGCCATCCATTCGGGTATTCAAAGTCCTCCATGCCAACTCCCTTCTCTCTCTTCCATGGCCGAACCCCAGAAGAAAACCCGTCAAACCAACCACAGAAGCAGTTGTTTCATAGGCTGTTTTGGGTTTTCCGGGAAGAAAAAACCCCTGAAGAAAGCCATCCATGCCAGTAGCAAAAAAGAGACCCGTTTGCTTTCTTGGCCAATGTTTCGTTCAAGCTTGAGAAAGTCCCGTACCAAAACGGTGCCTGTTGATAACACCGAGAAGGCAGAGGGTGCAGATGGCAATAAAAGCCATACATCAAAGCTGATCAAGAGGAAATCTGATACCAAACTCTCCTCTAAACCTCAGAACCCGGTTACCAATTATACACCTTCACCTCAAAATTCCGAAACTGAGCAAGTGACGTCCTGCAATCAAGCTGCACGAGAGAAACCTAAAGAGGTTAGTAAAAAACTATAGGCCTCAAAATTTCTTGCGCAAAAAGCAGTGTTAAAGCAAAACCCTTATATTATTTTAGCTAAATCTAGCTTTATTACCATTATGTATCTAAAAAGGTAATATATGTCGTCACTTTGAACTTGTTTTGTCTTTTTCATTCTACTTTTGGAATTCACTATTTTCAGACAAGGCAGGGACCTGAACCGAATATAATCCTCGGGAATAGGAAACTTTCGCAGCCAACCAGAACAGGGTCGAGCCTACCGGGTTCGCCGAAGGTGAAGCCCAAATCCAAAACGCAGACCAAGTTGTCCCACACGGTTTCGTTGCCGGTCCTAGAAGGGAACAAACGGGTGGGGAATCCCCGGATGAACTTGAAGGAGGTCCAACGGAAAAATAATGAGGTGGTTGAAAAAATCGACCCCTTACTGGGCATGTCTATTATTATGGTGACCCTGGTAATAATGTTACTTTGGGGTCGATTATGTGCCATTCTTTGTACATCGGCATGGTTCTATTTTTGCCCTCGTTTCCGATCCACAATTAACAATAATGACACTGCTGCTAGAGGTACCGCCAATTCCAGTGATTTAGATTTGGATTCGGAGGAGTACAAGAAGAAGGTGGTGTTGGAGGGCTTCCTCCAGAGGAACCACCGGCTCACGTAATTATGAAACTTTTTGTACAAAATACTTTTTGTTTGCTGTTCATTGCGCACGTTAGATTTAACTATACATGTTTTGCTAAAGTGAGCCCAATGGGCATTTTGTGTAAATTACCAGTAAACTTTGTGAAAATTCGCCGTGGGTCAGTGTCTTCTAGAATCAAAGTTGAGCCCCTTTTTTTCTCTATCCATTGTGGTGGTGCTCTTGTTTAATTGGCAGTTAGGGGATGTCACGTGATTTTCGATGTGGAGCACGTGCCAGGACTCCGTCAATGAGTGATGTTGGGGACTGTTTGGCTTTTGTGGCTGGAAAATAGCGGTCAGCTTCAGTTGTCGGCTTCTGCATCACCTAACATAACCGAGAGACTTTAAAGAGAAAAACCACGAAATCCATATTCAAAGATGTTATTTATTTTTCAAATAATTTTTTTGATCCCGTTTAATCAATTTGACTTTGCTTTTTTATTTATTTATTTTTCTCATGACTTATCCTCAGTTGATTATTCTTTTCATTTATCTCCTTTTCCTATTATTGTATGAATTAATTTTCTTTTGATGCAAAGCAATGGATTCGGTAATTTCACCAACTTCATTGTTTTCCTGTTTCTCTTTTTTTTTATTCACCTCCTTTACCTGGCAATACAGCAGTTGAGAAGACTGAGGAGACTTCCGCCTTCTAAAACCTCGAACAATGGTTGTCATAATGGTTGGTTTGGTGGTTAATTTCTCCTTGACCAAGCTGGCTACTAACGTCAGTGTGTTATTGCTGGGTTTTCCTACCTCTCTTTCTGTGCCACATTGGCTTGTAGAAAGGAAAAGAAAACGTTTCCCTTTGTCACTAATTATTGGATAATCATTCCTATGGTCCGAAACATCATATCCAACAGATGATCAGAGTCACAACAGGCTAGTACCTAACCTATTTTATTACTCCTTAATTATCCATCGTGGCCACGTCTCAATCAGTCTAGCCTTACTTCTCACTAGCATCTAAAAGCTACCATAAAGCAAAAACTTTACACTCCTCAAAATATCTGTCGCTTAAAGGGAGTTAGTTCTCTCCCACATGTTTTTAGTATTATATTTTCGACTTTTTTTTCTTTCTCAAAATTTGAGTGAATTTGTTATGCGATAAAAGCAACACAAACTTTTGGTAAAAACAAATTATGAGAAATTGAGTCAGATTTAAGTAAGAATCTAGATTCGGTCCTACTGTTAATTAATGGTAACACTAGGGAAGTACAAAGCCTATGGTTTAAACCACTTAAATATAGTTTTTAATTTAATTCTTATAAACGAACTCATTATTATGGATAGCTTGTCACCAGAGGTAGTAATTATATCTGGTTACATCCCAATTCGTCCAATTTGATTTTAGGCAAGCCGTGTCAAAATTCTTTTACATTATCAAAATAATCGTACAAATTATTTAATTAGAATTATAATATCATATTATCAATCAGTTAGATTATAGTTAAAATTATATTATAATACTGTTAATTAGATAGATTAGGAGTAAGATTAACTTTATTACCATTCATCTTAGAACAATACACATAAATACAAGATTTCAAGGTGAATGGAAGATTTAACCAATACCAAACCATGGTTTATCACTAACAACCTTGGAGGAAGAAACAAAAACGGGATCTGATAAAGAAACGGAGAAAGGGACAAGACCACAACAAGGAGAATGCCACAATGGCTTCATCGATCAGGAGGAGCGGCTGGTTTAGATAGTAAATAAATATGAAAGGAAAGCCAAATCAGAAAATATAAATACTTATATAGTTAAAAGCCAAAAGCAATCACGTGAAGAGTGATGTGATTTGAGAGCTTGTCAATTTCTTATTTTCATATTGGGCCCACCCAAGTTTCACCGCCTTTAACCTTTGTCACTCCCTATTTGCAAGATAAATACTTATACAAATTATATTTTATAATCGGGCCAGGCTTGGGCTTTAAATTTCTTGTAGTAGACCCAACCAGAATTTAAATGGGCCCCCATATACTAAAAAGACTTTGGGTTTGGGCTGGGTAGTCAGATCCTTATGCATATCCACTATCATTAGCCATTTTTAACATTTCAGCCCAAAAATATTTAATGGGCCAAGATATCCAAGCAAAGATTAGGTAAGGGCCCCAAACCATAACCTTATTTTATTTTGTTTCACCGATTTCCTTTTTCTTTTTAATTCTTTTATATTGCCGTTTCACTAATTTTTTTCTCTTATTTCCTTTCTCAGTTATTTTCCCTTTCAAAGACAAAAATACCCCTAACCCTCACAAACCCTAAACGTTAGAATGAATATATTTATAGATTGGACGCCTCCAAGTTAACCTTCCGGTCGAAACAGAGCTCTGGTTCCCTCATCTCATCTGCAGCCATGGTACGCTCTCCGTCTCCCTCTCTCTCGCTCTTGCTGTTCCTCTTCTTGGTTTAGTTTCGTTTGTTTGTTTAGCATCTAGATTAGATTTGCTGCTTTTTCCCCTAGAAAATGTTTGCATAATGATTAAAATGAGAAATGATCGAAACGATATAAATTTAGATTGTTATCATGATTGTATGAAACCATTTGGGTAGAGAGAACTGGCATGTAGATGTCGGGGATTTCTTTATCTTCCCCTCCCAGAAAATTTATTGTGTAATTATTTTCTTCCAAATTGCCTTTAGTGTAATATTTCGCAGTTTTTAATGTTTGGTTACTTAAGCTTAGTTATTATATGTTTTATGAGATTGGTATTCAAGAAATCGCCAATAAAGATGTAGATTTTATACTGTTTTGATGAATTAATGATGACTATAGGATGTTTGAAACCTTTGGCTAAAAAGAAGTTGTTTTAAATCTGAAAATTGGCCATGAGTTAATCACTTTAGCCTTGGGTTTGACTCTTGAAAATTCTAATATAATAAGTTGATGAGCTTGCAAAGTAATGGTAAATTGTTGTTCTTGGCAGTACTGTTTGTTTCTTGTTGACAATGAAGTGTAACCTAGGTCTTCATCAGGAAATGGTTGCTAAATTTTTTACTTTTGATATCGTTTTGAGGCGAATTATGACTTGTTGCAGGTGAACGTACCCAAGACCAAGAAGACTTACTGCAAGAGCAAGGACTGCAGAAAGCACACTTTGCACAAGGTTACACAGTATAAGAAGGGTAAGGATAGTTTGGCTGCCCAAGGGAAACGCCGCTATGATCGCAAACAATCGGGTTATGGTGGGCAGACCAAACCAGTGTTCCACAAGAAGGTAAATTTTATGTTACCAATCTTTTATCCCTTGGATATTATTTAGGTAGTGAAAAGATCAAGAATTTTTTGCCTCACATTCTGGTACTAGGTCCCAAGAGATGTTTGGTTATTCACTTGTCATTTTGATTATTGATATTTCTTGTAACTCTGTGCCTTGTACATGTATAAATATGTGACTTTGTATAATCACTACAGGCAAAGACCACCAAGAAGATTGTGCTAAGGCTGCAATGCCAGGGTTGCAAGCATGTCTCTCAGCACCCAATCAAGGTTAATGCACTGAAAACCCCTGCTGTTTCATTTTGCTTTTCTTCAACCTTGTTTTATGAGCTAATGTTTGGTTGTGTGTTTTGGCTTTTGCAGAGGTGCAAGCACTTTGAGATTGGTGGAGACAAGAAGGGGAAGGGAACATCTCTTTTCTAAATGTGTTATTCATGCCATCTGTTGTGTTGCTTTACTCTAATGCAGTAGTTGAAAAACATAAAAGGCAGTATGGAATTTTGTTGAGTTTGCTTTTAGTTTTGTGATGTTGTTTTTGGAGGATATTTTTGTGTTCTTCTTTAAGTACTTAATGACATCAGTTGCTCTTACTGTTAGCAATTGTTTCAAAGTTTCACCATTATTTTTGAATTTAACTCTTCCACAATTTTTCGATTTGATTGTTACGCACGTCTATTTTGAATTTGCTGTATTTGGAAAAGAAGGAATAAGCACAAGGCAAGCATAACCCTTGCTCTATTTTGGCCTAAAGATAATGGAAGTTGAGAGATGAGATCAAAGAATAGGTAATGAAAATTGATTCAACTGTTATAACATCGGCCGGCATGCATAAATCCTAAGAATGCTGATAATTGATGCCACTAACTTAACACCTTACAATTAATTTTTATTATATCAAGGCAGCATATGATGGCGAGATGCACTATTTGCCTCTTCTCTAGTCACCATGGATCCTAGTTATTGATTCAATTCTTGGGATATGTCTCCAGCAAGAAAGAAAGATAGTATCTTATCAAAGCAAAAATGCGAAACAATTAACTGCACATTTGGTGCTTCATTGTTATGGTAAAGACCATAGAATACTTCATTTGATTATTTGTGCTAAATTGTAGAAACACCCAATAGTAACCATTGAATAGGATGACAAGGCAGAGCTTAAGTTTATAAGCATAAAACTACCAGCACCGGAAAGAAGCGAGCTTTCTCATTCTAGCTCTCAGAACTTGCTTATAACTCCTTGGAAGTCTAAAACCCATCCTATCCCCGTTTTCCACCTCCCCATATCTCCAAAACCCTAAGCTAAGCCGGATTGTCGCAGAGGTAACCATGAGGGCCCTAATTTCCAGCACCAAAAGGCTCATCTCCACCACTACCACCGCCCTGTTACGATCCAACCACCGAAGCTACAGCCTTATACCGATGGTGATCGAGCACTCGTCCCGCGGCGAAAGAGCTTACGACATATTCTCTCGTCTCCTCAAGGAAAGGATCGTCTGCATAAACGGACCCATCAACGACGACACTGCCCACGTCGTCGTAGCCCAGCTCCTCTTCCTCGAATCCGAAAACCCCTCCAAGCCCATCCACATGTACCTCAACTCCCCCGGCGGCCAAGTCACCGCAGGTCCTTCCTTTTCTCCCTTTTCAATCTCAAAAAGTCCTAATTCTATCATAATTTTCAATAATCTTATCATTATTTTTTTTTTGTACAGGCCTTGCAATTTATGATACGATGCAGTACATTAAATCTCCAATTAACACAATCTGTTTGGGCCAAGCTGCATCCATGGCTTCTCTCCTTTTAGCTGCAGGCGCCAAGGGCGAAAGGCGGTCCCTCCCCAATGCCACCATCATGATTCATCAGCCTTCTGGAGGATACAGCGGCCAGGCTAAAGATATGACCATTCACACTAAGCAGATTGTTCGCGTTTGGGATTCATTGAATGCTTTGTATTCGAAGCATACAGGACAATCGGTTGATGTAATCCAGAAGAATATGGATAGGGATTATTTTATGGCCCCTGAAGAGGCCAAGGAATTTGGGATAATTGATGAAGTTATCGATGAAAGACCAATGGCTCTGGTCACTGATGCTGTAGCAAATGAAACCAAAGATAGCAAAGAAAGCAAAGAGGGCAAAGATAAAGGTTCCAATTAGGATAGGAGGTGGTAAGCTCTTTGATGATTTATTGTTTCCGTTCTCCAATTTCATGATTAACTATTTTTGTAGCTGTTTTTCGGCTGTTGATCTTATGCTTCTGGAATTGATATCTGCAATTTAGTGAGCTTGCTGGCTAATGTTTCCATCAGTACTTGTATGAGATCACACACATAAAGTTTTGTTGGCAAAGAGTTTTATTTGAGAAAGTGCACTTAAGTAGACAAATAATACATGAATGAGTGTTTATATATTTAGATGGGTGGCTTCAATGCTTTTGCTATGAAAATCTTTGATCTTGGTTTTTATGCCTCATAATGTAGATAATAACTAATCTGAATTGGTGAAGAATAAGAAATAACTTTGATATAATTAGAAGATTTGGTTTCTGGTTTCTATCTCCCCCCACTAATTGAAGCATCATCCTCCCATTTTCTCCCTTGCTCTTCTGGGTTTTGAAAATAAATTCCCTAAATGAGCAACTTAATGGTTCTTGGTATTGAAGCATAAATTACGAACAAGATTCTGCTTGTCCATGTTGTTGGTATGTTTTAGGTAGAGGAGGATGGTCTTTGGTCATACAGATGCATTAAACCAAGAATGAGCCAGGACTTTGACTTGTTAACCTGCATTTTTGTTTCCATGTGTAATAAAACTTCCTACTGATTCTTGATCTTTGGGTTTCAATTTTCACATGTTGGCTACTTTGGGCAAGATTTTTTAAGGACTTCTGGGCATAATATGTAGTAGGATTAAGATTAGCATGAATACGATGAGTGTCTTAGCTTCTTATGTTTTTATGTCAAAGTGAAAGATCTTGATTCTTGGGTATTAGGCATTAAGTTAAGGGTTTTATTTTGAGATTAGACTCAACCAAGCCATAATCTCATACCGGGGAATGCTTGCTACATGATATAATTCTTCCTTTTTAGGGCTACAATATCTTTAAGGAGGATGGTAGACATGACTGATTTTCTCCAAAACGTCTCATTTCTTGCTGATGTTTAGTTTTCCTTTTCTATCCTTTTATCTGTGGATAAAGATCAACATGAAAAATTCCTACCATTGTCTTGAATAATCATCAGACCCGAGTTTTACATGATTATGACTGATATCTTGAAATTGCCCACTAATTTTGGACATCATTGAATTTCAAAGCTCTCAATAATCCCTGAGAGAATTGTGATTGCTGGTGTTCTTGTGAAAGTAATCTAAAGATTTGAGTTAGTGGTTGAAATGAGAAGTGGTGACATCAGGTTGTGGAGAATATGGTGGGATTGGTGGTGCAGGTTTTTGGGTAATACAGTAGAGATCTGCCGAATTCAGGTGCATATGTGACATTGATGGTGATTTCTGTTGAGTGAAGTACTTACTGGTTATCCAAGGTAGTATGAATTGTGATGTTGCTAATGGTTTGACTCTGTCCAGTGAAACCGAAAATAGTTGTAACATTCTTTAAAATTGGCAGGAATGATTATTTATTTAATTTGATTTGAGAAAGGGGATTCAAACCTTTTCAAAGCATGCATTAACTGAGTCAAATGCATTTGTACAAAGGATTAATCTTAATAGTGTCCTTAAAAGGAAAGAAACCTCTTCCTTTGGTTTAAGTGACTTGCTAATGTTCTTTTATTCTAAACGCAAAAATTCAAATATTTCCTTTGTTTTTTCTTAAAATAAATAAATAAATATATAAAAAAATAAAAAGTACTTTTCATATTCACCCGTAGCCGTAGGTAGGTTATGGAATTTTTGCCTTTTGGATAAGAGATCCAAGTCAAATGTTCAAATATATGTTATATAAAGAATTAAATGTTGGCTTTCACGAAAGGAATGGATTAAATTTAATGCAGGCATTGTTTCCATAATTTACAATCTAATCATTAATTGCGTGGATTTGAATTTCAATATTTTCACGTGATTAATTTATATTTCCCGGAAGTGGTTGGAGAAGGTCCAATAATATGACAGGTAAAACGATTTGTCTAGAGTGGTGGAATCCAATGCAGAATTATTGAAGTTTCAAGATTTAATATTCAGGCATTTGGTCAATGATTCTTGCAAATGATTTAGACAGTAGGAACACACCTTTGCCTGAAACATTCAAAGAAACAGGATCGGCACTCACCCACCATACCTTGCATTTAAAATTTGGTTAAAAGTGAAGCCAAACAATAAATTACACAACTTACATAATACATATATATATATATATTATATATCGACAATTTCAAATAAACTAGGGGAAACTATTGTATTATTGAACTCTTTTTTTCTTATTTTCTCTTTCTATCTATATATACTTCTCAAGAGCTAGCAATTGCAGGCCTCACAAATTGTAGTCAAAAATTGATAATGTAAATGGGACTGTGATGCAGGCGAAGGGAGTTAATCAAGCGCGGTTTTGTTTTTACGACCCGACATTGGCTTTGGCAATCCATCAAAAATAGGTCTTGTAATGGCTACAGTTGAAAGTGCTTGTAAATCAGGCTTCAAACCCCATTTGGACGCTGCTGGCCAGAGGGATGACAAACTATTACTGTCCTGATCTTGCAAACTCGATGTGCTCGACGACTTCCTCACGACAGAAAATCCATCGACCACATAACTATCTCCAAATCCTACTGGCATCGGATTGATCCCAGCAACCTCAGCATCAGCTCCAGAAACAGTGCGGCTTGCTGCTTTAGATCTCAGTGCCAAGCCTTTTGCTGTTATTGTTGAAAATCCTCCGCTGCTGGTGTTATCCTCCTTCAACAGCTTCTCTGGGGTACGGGCAGTAAAGTCAGCCTCAGATTTCTGCCGTCTTCTGATCAATTTCTCATTCGATTTATCAGCTTCACCTTCTTTACCTTCTCCAGCAGACATGATATCAGCTACAACTTCACCAATCTCATCAAAAAATCCATTAGCTAAGCTTCTACACTTACGATGATGATTCAAAGGTGGGTTGGAAGGAGGGGAGGGTTTAAGGAATGGACCATCCTCCAGATAATGAGCTTCTCCTTTCCTATATACTGCCATCTCAAAACCTTCATACTTCATCTTTTTTTCTGCTGGTTTAAGGCCATAGTAACCTTGTAATGAGCTCATTGCTGGGGAGACCCTTCGAGGAGGAGTCTTCAGTCTCAATGACTGGAATGAGTCAAGCAAATCAGGAGGAAAATGTTGGGCTGGGGTTTGGTTGGCACTGCATTGTCTGCAAAGAGTTGTAAGACGATAGTGAGACTCAATTGAGACAACCAATCAAAATAGAAAACCAGAGAGATCAGAGGTGCATCTTGCAGGATTTTGAAGGAGACAGAAATTAGAAAGAACTTCATGCATACTTCCACAACTTACTGAGACATTGATTATCAATATCTTAAGAACTGACTTCTTAGAAAATATTTCTTAATATGCCCAAGAATGCCAAATCTAAAGGATCATTACTATCAACATGCATTTTCAGATGAAATGCTGAACTGCAGTTCAATGAAGTGGTGGCTATACATGAAAAGACTCTCCTACAATAAACAGCAAAACACATTAATTATACACCGTGGAGACCAGCTACCACTACAGGCCAGAATCAACTGTAATTTAAATGCTGCCAAAATCTGCAACCACTTCGCAACTCATCAGTAACTATATTGTGATTATTACAGCATCACCCAGAAGCTTTGACACTACTAAGAGTCATGGGCAAACTACCATAACAGGCCAGAAATTAACCGTAGGCTAACTGCTTTCACAAACTCCAACCACTTTGCAACTCATCACTACCTAGGCTGTGATTATTACAGCATCATGCAAAGGCTCTGAAACTACTGCTGAAACTCCTGGAAAAATACAATGCTTTTTAATGCTATTTCCGCCTTACCACTCCTAATAATGAAACCTTTCATTCGGGAGGGTATGCTAGAAATGGAACCACTCAACATCCAACCTGTCATCACTTAAAATTGATTTGGCCTCAACTCTCAACATGTCACGTAAATGTTTCATTGCAAAAATTAACCAGTTTTAGGCTTCTAAATATCTCAGCTCTTAAAACGATAGAAATCATATGGGAAAATTAAAAATAACGCTAAGGCAAGGAGACAACATAGCAAAAAAGTATTCACAGCCTAAACAGAATCATCGCTGAACTCCTAGATTTCAAATTTAACTGAGCACCACCATCCAATATTCTGAAAAGCACTTATTATGATGGGTGATTAACAATTAAGATAGTAATTTTTACAGGAAAATCAGTGTTGGAGCAAGAAGAATGTTTGTTGGACAAGTAAGCATTCGTTATCATTCCTGATGTGAAGGTCAATACCTTCAAATACTGAAAAACTATTAAAAAACAATATTAGTTGGAATGAGGGGATTTAATAAATCCTTAGATATTATTTATTCAAGTAGTTTAGCAATAATGTGTTTGATTGAAGTTCTCTGACACAACAAGGAAAAAAAGTTCATTCATAAATGCATTAAGAATATGGCACTGGAAGAGAATTTCTTAATGACCCTAAGAAAAAAAGAAGAAAATATGTGATAAGCAAATCCACTAAATTATTTTTAGCATCAAGATGTTTTAATTAAAGGTTCTTACTCTATTTATTTATATATATATATATATATATATATATAACTTCATCAATGGTTTGAAAAGGGCAAACCCAAAAATAAAAATTCAAGTCATAATCATAAGAAGACATTATTATATAGCATAACTTACTGAGTGTGACAACAAACCTATCTTTTCTCAGGGGTTCGATTTTTTTGACAAAACCCTTCCAAATTTCACTCTAAGTTATGAAACTTAACATACACAGGTGCAAATATGAAAGCACATACATTATTTTAGCAACCATCTAAATGCAAAAGATAGCAGAGTTTTAAGTAAAGTTCACGACTTGAAATAAAAAAACAAAACAATTCGCACTAGTATTAAAAAAGATATAATACCCTGGTGTTTCAGAACCATTTGACAAACAAGGCGATGGCGGATGCCGCCCCGGTAGAGGGATCTGGAGTGACTTAAGAGCAAACATTTGAAGATCTGTAACCAGACCATTCATCTTTTTTATGTCAGCTACCTGATTATTTCACACCCATAAAGACAGTTTGTCAATAACTCCACGCACCATGACAAAGGAACAAAGTAATAATAATAATAATAAAAACCCTCCGATAGATATTAGATTTAACTCTTGGTTGGCATTGGCCAGTTTCGCCAACTAATTTCCCAAAATATACAAACATGCCCATTATAAGGAAATGAAAAAAAAACACATAAAACTCATGGTTTGATTCACAGAAGGAGAAGATAATTGAGAATCCTAAATTATTAGAGAAACAAAAGGATGAATATAGTTACCTCGACCCCGTACTTGATGGCGACGCCGGCTAGAGTATCGAACCGGGAAACGGGATGTTCAATGAAACCGGCACCGGGTAAAGACGAAGCCGGCAAACTATGATTCTTTTCTTTCTCTAAAACACTATAATCATTGCAAAAATTACTATAATTGCCATTCGTGTTATAACTGCAGTCACCATTTGCAATGCTATTCCGCCTCTCCCTTTCCATCTGCATATCCCCCGCTTCCTTAAAAAAAGAAAAAGAAATCCCTAATTCTTTACCCTAATTTCATCACCCACCTCTACTTGACCTTCAATTCTTCTTCTTCTTCTTCTTCCTTTTTTTTTTTTTTTGTGGTTGATCGAAATTTAAAGAACCTGGAGCATTAAATATAGAGAAACTAATCGACCTTTCTCCGATCGAAACGAATGCAAATCGAATCGAAAAGAATAGAATAAAAAACTACAGGTAAAAGTAAAAAGAATGGGTTTTATTAAAAATAAACAAAGAGAAAAAGAGGGAGAAAAAAACCTAGATCTAAAGAGGAAGGAGGTGGCGGGGAAATCGTGAAAGGGAAATAAGTTTGCAGTTAAACGGATCGGGCGTTCCCTCCAGTATTTCCGGGACAATGGATGAAAGATCCTCTTCTCTGTTTCCAGGAGAGCGAGAGAGAGAGAGAGAGAGAGAAAGATAGATAGCCTTCAATTTTAGGATACCGGCAGGGGCAGTGAATATTTACTATCAACTACCAACTAAATTATTTCAACAAAAAAAGAAAAAAAAATTGAAATAATAAATAAATGAAGCGGGGGAGCAAATAAAAATAAAAGGAAAGCTTTTATGGGATGAGACTTTTGACCCATTAAAAAAAAAAAAAGAGGGGAAAGTTGTACCGTACGTTGCCATGATTTTGTTATTTGAGTAACAACTGGCGGTATACGTGTTACTGTAGGAATGTTCCCACCGAAACCTAGTCCCTCCTTCTCCTTCCCCCTTTTGTCGGTCGGTGCTCGGGTCTGGTTCCATCATTGGGCTGCTCCTCCTCTTGTTATTTGTTTTTTTTGGGCTATGTTCAAGACAAACTGGAAATCGAAGTAGTATTTGTTTTATACTTTGTCACATTTTAACAATAACAAACAAGTGAATGTCTCAGATTTATTTTAACTTTATAGAGAGTATGTTTTTGACTACAGGATAGTCCTCGTTGTTTCCTTTGCCCGTGTTCTCATTAATACGTTGACTTGCTTACCTAGCTTTATTAATTTTTTTTTTTTTGTTTTTGGGCAGGAGTGTATGGAAGAACCCCTCCCTTGACAAATCAATTAATTGAACGATTTAAAGGTAAAAATCAGTGTCGCATTGTTGAATACATAAAGGGGGCAAATCCCATGGGCATTTTAGCAAGTGGGAAGCAGTCTTTTCCATGGAAAAAAACTACTGAATTTTATTCTTGGATGTTAAGACTCAGAAAACGACAAATAAACTGACAAAAAGCCAAAAAGGTTTGTTAAGGCGTAACTGCGTAAGACACATGATTTTCTAAGCTAAACGTATGCATTACAGAAGGAAATTGGCTTTTAATTTTAAGTAGTCTGTCAATCCAATCACCGACGGTGATGTGTAATTTGTGGAAGAATACAAGGGACTGTTAAAAGAGTTCTAGTCATGGAAAATTTACTCCTTATAATATACATAATAATGTCAACTCTATTTTTCAACCAATCATGTCTTTATATTTAAAAGTTAGATAAACACTTAAGTTATTGACTCATGCATAATCTCTCCTTCTTTGAATTCAAAAAAAAAAAAAAAAACCCTAAAAATTAGGTAATTTATCTCAAGTAGGCAAAAGGGGATGAGGAAGCTCAAATTGTCACCCCCCACTAGCTAAAAAACATGGCATGGTTACATGAGTGGATTCTCACTTGATGGGTATAACTTTTTTTTTTTTTTCCTTTTGCAAACATTTGTAGAAATCTAATGTAAAATAGTATATATATAACCACATTCACCAAACCAATAAAGAAAAGAACAGAATCACATTGACCGAATTTGTCCCTCTTAATATCACCACCAAGAGAGTAGTGTATATCAGCTATTACAAAATTGCAAGCATCATTGAATACCTGCCCAAATACGAATGCCATCAGTTTGATGCCAATTCCCACGTTTTCCATAGCAAAAAACGTGTTTACCATGAACATGTGAGTTCATTCCCCAAGGGAAACATTTCCATATGAATCTTTGCCATTTGCCATACACAGATATGGAAAGAAATGTTCAAAGGTAAATAAATTTCAATTGATTACCATGTATACATTACAGCATTATCCAAGATACCGGAGCAAGACACCATCATTACCCAGTACAAATCCCTTCTTGTCATCAATAAACCTGCATATAAGATTTACAGATCAATTACCTTCTTCAGTTAAATATAGCTTAAAGATTTAAGGGAAAATTAAAGTGTTGGACAGTTCATATTGCTTCCCTTTTCGAGGTTTTTTTTTTTATTAATTGCTATAGTGATTGAGTTTGAAAAGTTTGAGCTATTGTGGAGTTAGGCATTGATTAAATACGGTGTTAACTTAATCTGTGTGCTTATTGGGTTAGGACTAGGTAGGCCTCCACTAAGCAAGCCATACCTAGACCAACCTTTCGTGAAGTTAAAAAGTAGGTTTGTTTCCATTTAATAATAAAAATTGGAATAACCACTAAATATAAGAGAAAACAGAGGAGAAGGGCAAAACAGAGAAATGCAAGTCTACTTGATGAAATCCCACTATTCTTGTCATTGTTTATATGGGGAAGGTTTTCTGGAAGTCATGCTTGGCTTCATCATGCCTCACCGATTGAACTTTATCTAGGAAACATGAATTTAAAGAATTCCAATATTAGCTAACAGAAGGAGCATGGTAGATCTTACACTTTGTTGGATAGGAGGGAAGGAGGAAGGAATGAACGGGGGTGGAAGGAAAATAGTGTTTCTTTCCTTCGGTTTCTTCATTTGGTAGGAGGGAAATAGGAGGAGGAAAGAAAATAGATAGATTTTGCACATTTCTCTTCCTTCCAAATTGGGAGAAAAACATTTGTTTACAATTGTATTCCTAGTCTCTTTCTTTCCATCTATTTTCCATCTTTCATACTAAACATGAGGAATAAAAAACAACTTTTCTTCCTCTTCTTCATTTTCTTTCTTTCCTCACCTTTTTCCCTTCTTTCCAACTGATTAATGATAAGGGCAATAGAAAGTTACCTCCGACATGATGCGCATTCAGTGCAAAATTAAATAATGAAAGTAACCAAGCTTTTAAAAGGTTAGACTCACTTCACTGAGTATAGATTTGCAGCAATATTATCAGCTGCCTTATCACGGGTCCAACTCTTCCCACCATTGGTAGTTCTCAGCAAAACCCCACTACCCCCAGCTGCCCAAGCCTCTTCCTGCACAATCAAATCATTTATTTAGCAGTTCAGAAATTCAAAGGAAAAGAAAAAACTAGTAATTTCTTATATATGTACAGGCCAACATATAAGTGCATATACATGCATAATTATGCAACATGTATGTGATTTAACACAAAATCTAATATGCATGGGCATGTTTGCACACAAAAGATTTTGTTGAGTGACACAGGAAATGGGTGCTGCAACCACTCATCCAGGTCTTCTTGAAGCCACACTGTAGAATTGGATAAACTCTTTGGGCCAAATATTTAAGCACATTTTAGTTACCATCGATCGATAACCAACGTCAAGAATGCCAAAACCACGACTTTGTACAGGAATTTCTTCAAAATCTTCTGTTATCTGAAAAAATTAGAAATTAAACAAAAAGGACAATGAGCAGTACATCAGTGGCAATTGAAACCCCAAAACTCAAACAAGCTAATGAGGACCTGTATGAAGAATAACACAATATTAAATATTAAAAGTTTATTACTAAAGATGGTGCAATAGGTAGCAACTGATTGCATTCATGATAGAGTAATTTGCTGTGTTTTCTATGTCATCAAGTTCATAGGACGTTGATAGCAGGCTATCAACATTCAGAAGTGACCAATACATCTCTAGGAAAACATTCATGTCAGCTGATACGATCCCTCGAAACGGATCGAGTTATGGGACGATGTGTGGAACGGTGGTTTAGTTTGAGGTACGCTAGGTACTTGGGTGGACGGTTTCTTTTTTTGACCTATGTTTGTAGTGCTGGCTCATTAGAGAGAACCTACAGATCTCTTGAGTTTTGAGTACTCAAAAACTTGAATAGATGCTGAACAAGCCTCCTTTATTAACTTCACTCCTTTTTTAACTACAGCTTGGTGGAATAACCACCCTTAAAGCAAGAAAGTGGAAAGGTGGAGAAAAACTCCAATAACATGAAACAGAAAACTACACTAACAATAAAATAGGGTGGAGACACAACCTCCAACAACATGAAATGGAAAACTACCACTAACAATAAAATAGGAACCACAATGAAACTGTTAACAATAAACTGCCAGCAACCAATCAGATATGTTGATTTAGTTTATACTTCCCATGTGTGAATCGCTTGTAATCTAAGGGATTATCTGATGTGCTAACATCAGCTTTTTCAGTAAAAATTCTTCATCAAGAATAATACAAAAAATTTCAATATTTACCGATGCTTTTCAATTTTCCCACTTCTGCATTCTTTCTAAGCCTAGGAAAACAGCACAAGTCGTATTTTAACCTTTCTTTCCCTATGAGAACTTGCTATTAAGAACGGAAATCTTGATTATTATTCTTCTTTGACTAGTCAACTATTCCTAAGTTTTCAGCCTATAGGAAGTTGACAACTTTTTCAAATGACAACTATTTTTCCTACAGCAAATCCAGATGTTTTTGTGAAATTATATCTGCGGTACATCTTATAAGAATTTCCTTGAGATAATTTTAAACATTGACATGAATAAACTAGGGGATATCATCAATTTTGCTTACCCCAGTGCCTTTGCTAAGAAAGAGTCCTCCTCCACGGACAAGAAGCCAAAGACCACCATCAGCTCTCCATCCCATGTTCTGTATTCTTCTGGCAACAGCTCTATTATGTGGTTGCCAGAATGGCTGTAAATTATAAAGCAATGATGCTCATTAAGTATGCTGCATATGCTCAATTAAAATAAAAGGAGACCAAACTCTTCTGCTCCTAACACACATAGTTCACGCCATCCACTACCATGAGCATGCTAAATCGTTGAGAATGCAAAACCAGAGGAGCATGAGGTCTCATATCTCACCAATGAAGAGTCCGTTGTACTCATATATGCAGGAAAATAAAAAGATGATGCAATGGGATCCACGATGCCACTGATAATATATAGCAGCATGACTGATAGCAATAATGTTTCAACTTCAATAATATTGGTTATGAGCAAGCATTCTCCTGTTATTTTTTCCTACATAGCAATAATATTTTAGTTACTTTACTTACATCCAATATGACTAAGAGAAAATCTCAAAAGAGAAGCAAGCCCCTAAATCCTAGAAAACAATCCCACCAAAGATTTGAGCAAAGCTAAACCATGTAGAATGGATCATACCTGCCCAGGCTCCCATGTAAGATAAAAGTTACCACGGCTTGAGACAGCCACATATCGTCCATCTGGAGAGCGATTGACAGTGTTAAAAGTTCCAGTATAATAACTTGCCCCACTAATACCACTAGAAACTGTTCTGCAGAAGTAATGAAGCAATGTAAGCATTTTCCCCTACACACAATTAATAATCTTATGGAAGTTCCTCAAGGGAATGAGCTTATTGCCTACTTAATTTCCTGGCAATCCAGTTTTTTTTTATCACTTCCTGGCAATCCAATTTGTTTAAGGCATGCTAACTTGCTTTACAAAGTGCAGTGCTCCTTTTAATTTTTAATAAAAGGCATATGATAATACTAGTAAACTTGAGTGAGCACATCAAAATAAAGATGAATATGAAGGCATTTATATCTTTTTCTTATTAAAAATTTTCCTTTCAAATTCTAGTTTCAACTTTCAATAGGTTTATACAGATAAAGTCCTTTGTGATAAAGATTCTACGGAACAAAATTGCATTTCAACTTTATTTTAAACAGAAGCACACCTATTCAGAGTAGCTGAGACGGTCTCCTGAACAGCAGCTCTCCAGTTATAGCCCCTGTTTGATGTAACATATATTGCACCTTGGTCAGTTACCATTTCTGCACTCTTTTCATCAGTTGCCTTTATATATACCTGCACAAATCCAGATGGTTTAACAAAATCACTTAACTCACCAATTTTAGACTAGCCATAGTCACACACACAGTAGTTCAAGTATTTGCAAATAAATTGACAATAACAGCCCACAATGAAACAAAGTGTGGTAAGCTTTCAGTGTTGATGCACATTCAATTGTGTGTTAGTCGTAATAGGAATAAAGGACAGTGGATAAGGTTACTATTTCAGGAAGTATCTTGGTTTAATCAACTGAAAATCATGACATCCCTTTCTGACGACTGGGTTTAATGTAAAAAAAAGTATTTCCAAAAATTGCACCCTCACAAGTGCCTTTACTGGGAAATGCATAATATGAGGAAAGACAAGTTTAAGTGAACGCCATTAATGCCTGTAATAAGGTAGAGAGCTGACCATATCTCCAGGAAGTTGAGCACTTAATGGAATTCTTTCCCAGCTTTCTCCAGCATCTGAAGTGTACAACAAAATTGCGGGTTTCCCGACGATCCAACCTTCTTTCCCTTTGAAGCTAATAGAGTTAAACCTGTAGTTGAAATCTTCATCCTCAGCTGAAGGAATTGAACGTGGAACCCATGTATTTCCCCCATCTTTTGTCTCCAAAATAGTCTGCCTTGTCCCCAGCAAGAATCCTATAAAAACCACCATAAAAAGAAATTAAATACTTAGTCAGTTCCATCAAGCCAAAGAAGCTGCAATTTAAACTCATTAATAAGTACAAGAAAGAAAAGAGACCGTGGTTTGGGTCATCTGGGACAAACGCAATGTCTAGAAGGACAACACCGGCATCGATGGGAAGGTAGACTCTTTCCCATTCCGACAAAACTTCCTGGGACTTGGCTGGTAGTTGGAGAGCTGAGAGAGTTGCAACCGACAGCGAAAGTGACGCCGTTTGCGATATAAGTTGCCTTCGGTTGACGAGTGTTGGCGAAGAAGAAGAAGACGAGAGGTGGGGTTGGTGGAGAGAAGCTTTGGAGATGAAACGCGGGTGGGGTTGCGCTTGGGGGCGGTGGAGAAGGCGGGGATTGAAGAGAGAAGTTAAGGAAGGTTTAAGGTTGGAGCAGTCGCTCACTTGAAGATTGGACATTGCCATTGTATGTCACTTATTTCCTTTGTTGCAGAAAGCTGGCGCTCTGCGTTTGTCTTCTTTTCTTTTCTGTTGTTTCTTATCCGAATGGTGGTGGTTATCAACGGCTACGCGGGCAGTTTCGAGCGTCAAAATCTTACTGGGTGCAGAACATGCCACTCTCTGCAATTATTTAAATATTGTAGCTAATTTGAATGAAAAGATCATTTTACCCGCTATTGGGTGCAGCTCAGATGGTAGAGCACTGGCGTAGCATGCGAGAGGTACAGTGATCGATACCCAGCAACTCCATCTTCCAAAATTCAAACCCCAATTCAAGTATGACATGAAATGTAGCACAGAAAGGGCCAATGATTAGAATTGTGTCACAATAATTGTTTTCGTTCTTCTCTTTCGTTCATAGGACAAATCCCTTCACCGATTGGGATTTAAGAGTTTGGTTGATGCTTATTGTTTTTCAGTTTACGAAATTTTGATCCATTATAACCCAATTACATTACATCCAAAAGCTTGGAGGAGATGCAATCAACTTGGATCCATGAACACGTTCATCCAAGTTCCAAATAAAAAATAAAAAATAAAAGAAAACAAAAAACCACTGACAACGCCATCAATTTGCTTTCTCTTTCACTATAAACATCGAAGATGGCCATCTCTTCTATTATACAGTATATACAAAGATCTTGGGAAATGCAAAAGACACTATGACGCATCTCTAGAGGATCCACAACATCACAAAATTTGTGTCCATACCTATTATACAACTTTCTTACCACTTCTTCAAAATGGAGAGAAAAATGAATTGAAGTGAGTCGAATAAAATCAATGCCATTTGTAAGGGGGCAAAAAAACACAAATAACTTATTAAAGAACTTGCATTGTCATGGCCGGTAAATTCTGATGGTTTTTGTTACCTGAACCCGACAGAATGGACACCGGGAAACTGCAGATGAGCATCTCCGACAAAGCACGTGCCCGCAAGGAACTATCGTCATATCAACTTCATTGCTCAAACAGACCCGGCAAACCCATGCTGCTTTTGCTGCATCAGCTTCCTTTGCAGCTATATCAACCTTTTCCTGTAGATTTCGTCCATAACATTCAAAACTCATCTTCCAATAAGACTTAAGCACAAAAGTAGCTACGCATTTTAAAATATAGACTAAGATGCTAGATTTTGCAAAATCATTTTAACATGCAAAAATCTAACCTGTTCAAGCAAAAGTGCTGTTCGGGATTCTTTCAATTGTTCTTGAAGTGTTATAGTTTTCTGCAATAGAGACTGCTTCTCCACATCCATGTTGATTCCAGCTGCAGAAAGCATCTCATTAACTGCCTGAACCAATTCTGCAGCCGACACTCGGCCATACTGAAGTTCTTTAATAGGCTGCATTTAACAATAAAGAAAACATTATCAGTTGCTATCTGATAAAACAGTACAGTAAAGACTGATGTCCATTCTACTACTAATAATTTCCATGGAACAACAGCAGTAACAGGCTCTTCACATGAAGGCATAATTTGTTTCATTTTACAAATCCTTTATGATTCTAAGGGCATCTGAATCAATTCAGATGTAGCTTCATGGTATCTAAATAATTTAAGTTTACATTTGAAACTTCCATCAATCAGAATTCTCGAGGAGTTGGGATATTACCACAGTGACACAAATGGGGATTCCAATGAGTACAGAATCCACAGGGTTATGTGTAAGTAAATGAAGTAAAAGTCAATGACATACCAAGCATCATCAAAGCAAACCAATAAAAGCACTAGAAGTTAGCAAGACAAAGATCTAAACCTGGGAAGATTTTCTTCTGCCTCTTTCAGAACTTTCTGGCATCTCATTATAAGTCCTGTTATCAGTCATAACACAATTATCCTTAGGCAAGATTGCTGAGGAAGCATTGTTTCCCATCGATACACTTCTAAATGAGAAAACCTGTGAAGAAAGAAGAGATTCAGACATTCCTGGTGCTGTTTCCACCTTGAACTTCCAGAGGGCTTGGCCCGCTGAAGGTCTGACATCCTCTGGAACTCTACCATATTTCAACTTCTCTCCATTTTGAGACTGCCAAGCCACTATTTCTCCCTTATAAAATGGCCTCAGCGGGTGAAGTTGCACTTGAAGAGCATCTTGAGGCATTATTTCTTTGCCCATCAAATTGTTACTAGCAGCTTCAATTTCTCTCTTGTCAGAACAAAGTTTCAGAATGTCAACGATTGCAGCCTCAGACCCTTCAGGACAGGAAAACAAAGATCCTATAGGCAATGGAACAGGGGATCCTAAAACCTGACTTACAACAGTTGCAACAACATCAAAAACAGATATATAAGCAGGAGGCTCTGCAATTAAAATGCAGCTTTTAGACATGTTGACAAAGTAGAGGGTCCGATGTCTAGATCCATTCTCCCACCCTCGAATTACAGAATCCTTTGATACAAAGGTAATATCTAGAGACCTTGATAAGAGCCAAAAACGAGTATGAAGGCACTTAACAAACTGCAACTTGTCCGCAACAGATTCTAGAGAACTCTGTACAGTTCCCAAAGCCAAATTATTAATTGCTGCAATGTAACTGCCTATGCTATTTACAAGAGTCCACACGGCATCCTGAAAGGATCTGCTTAACAGCTTCTCTCTGACAACAGCTAAGGGGACAGACCCAATGCTGTCCAAAGACTCTAAATTGTCTTCATTATGGAGTTCCTGCAAACTCAAGTATATACATTGAATGAACACAAAAGCTCTATATTGTAAAAGGAGACAATGAAAACTAGAAAGTCAACAGAACAAGATCAATCTACCTCCGTGACAACATCAGATAGCTTTTTGATGCCCAAGAACGTACATATTCTCTCAGGAAGATCTGGGTGAACAAATCTTAACCTTGAAGTGTCAATATGCTTAGCAAATCTAGAGCCATATGAATCGATGTAGACACAAGATTTTGCATGAACAAGTCTGCAACCATCGTCTGGAACAACAGCATCCGATTTCCAGTCAACCGTATTTGCCTCAAAAGTTCCATCACAGACAAAATATAAAATTTCCATCACAGCACGAAGTTCATTTGGATTTAGGCGCTGATATCCACATGCTTGCTGCAGATTTAACAGAAGATCTTTTGCAGAAGCAACTGACAGCATGTCCTGAAGTCCCAAGTCCTTAAGAATCTTCACAAAAGGAAGATATAAAGAAGGAAGCTCAAAAGCAAATGGTGCCAAATTAATCATCAAACGTGCAAAAAGAGAGTTAGCTGGCACCAGGCGTGTCCCATTTGCAGCAGGCAGAAATGCTACTCCTTGCAGCTTTGCTATATCTGCATGAGCCAAACTTTCATACTTTTAGTCACTTCTAACAATATAATTCCAATATCATGATGTGCAAAAAGTAAACTTACATAAACCAAGATTCAATGCACTTATCAATAATTAAAAGAACAGTAAATAGTGTGAAGAAATCAAAGACACAAAACTGTTATTACCAACCAAATGGCTATGAATTGTCTACGCAGTTAAGAGGGAGAACTTGTTAAGAAAAAGGTTATGAAGAGAATGGAAAAGCATAAATCAATAAGAAAGACAGGTGTCATTTCTCCATTAGTCAGTCCTGTCTTCTAAGGATAAAATGAAAATATTCCTTTAACATACCAGTTGAAATGTACAGGAAAGCAATATATGTCTCATTGAATTATGTAAATAGAAGCCACAGTATCATAAGATGAACATGAATAAGCAGCATCTTCAAAAGCAAACGCAATGATAGATGCCTACAATGATGAGTATTCAGACTCAAGCCCTACTGCTGCAGATGCACAAATTTACTAAACAAATCTTAGAAAGCTGGTAAAAGTACATTTTAGGTGCAAAAGAAGGCTGCTATAAACTAATTAATTCAGTCACCTATAAAGAAATAGTTAATTACTAGATGAATCTAAATTTTATGAATTTTCATAATACAAATGCAAACCTAAATTTTATGAACAAGCTAAGAAAAGGAAGTTCATGAATTCAAAAAAAGAAAAAAATAGAAAAAAAGAAAGAAAGCAAAGGAAAGAATCATCTTTTGAAAACTATAACCACTCCAATATTCTCCACCAGAGGATATATACATCTCTGTGTGTATGAATTATGCATCTATCTATCTTTTAGAGAACAATAAATTCTTGCTGCATCGTGTTAATAAGCAGCAAACAATCAACTAAACCTACACATACGCATACACACACATCATGACAATAAAGAGAGACATCAGTTTCTATTTTGAGATGAGAGGATAGTGGAACAATTGCATTTTATATGAGTAATCAAGTACCAAGGACTAGAATCTAGCAAATTGGTTTTAAGTTGCTTTGTACATGGAATTTGTGCACTGTGCCACTCCACCTATCACCTATTGGTTCTAAGTTAGATGCTTAACATTTGACAAACTTTATTTTCTCCTAGAGGATTTAAAAATCAGAAAACATAAACAAAGTGATGTTCTAAAAGAAATTGTAGAAATATAAAGAAGTTGGTATGAATTCATTCCATTCTAGAGGCAGTTGATAGCCAAATAGCATAGCAACCTGAATAAGAGAGGGAACCCCATGTTTTATCCAAATATTTCAAAACTTCACAAGAAGCATCATCAATGGTCATCATGCCTGATGCAGTAGGCCAGTGAGCAAGAGTGTCTTCACCACCATTTTTCCCAATAATCTGTGTCAAATGCTTGTTAGTTATGTGTTTTACATGCTAGCTCTGTCAGATGAAAACACAAGGAAAGTGAAGTTTCATACCTGTAAATGTTTTAGGACTGTAGGAAAGGCCGGAGGACTTCTCAGATGGAGTGCCCCCCAAGAGTATTCAGGAGGAATAACATTTTGTCTAGAGAGTATTGGAGCACAGCTCCAAGCCAGAGGCCAGTCCTTTGATAGAATTGCTTCACTATAGGAAGCAAGAACTCTCTTGCCACCCACATTTGGCAAGCCTAATTCAGCCGGTACACAAGAAATCTCCCCTAGGTGATTACAGAAGTTGTTTCCGTATAGAACAGCAAAGTTTGTGAGCACAGCTTCAACAACAGATCCAGCCAAAGTCCATACTTCCATAGAGACTTCACCATGACAGGTCATATCTGCTCCAAAATCATCAAAATCGCCAGTAGACTTCATGCACTCACTTCCAAGAAACTCTACTCTTTTGGCACATTCAAGTATCACATCAGCTTCTGTTGCCATCCGAAGGCCCACTTTCCGTAGAATATGGAGCCACCCATCTGTGCTAAACCTTTCACCGGGAAATTTCTTCCTCTCACCAGAAAATACAGAAGCTAGCAAAGCATCGCCTGGATCAAACAAGTCCTTAGGCTTGTAGAAATCAGAAGAAAATTCATCAGCATTCCGAACAAAATTAGTTTCCCTTAGAGCTACAACTACAGAAGAATCTGCTTGGAGGTCTTGCCAATTT